ACAGTGGGGTAATTAAGAACAAATAAATAAATTAATAATGATAGCACAAATAAAAAATTATGACAGGCCTTCGAATTAAATAAATTGCTTTTTAGTTTTTTACCAATTATCCAAATAATGTTTAGTCTTAGAAAGCTATTATTATCAGAACACACAAGCATAACATAGCGGTTAGCAAATCAATGAATGAGAGGGCAGCGTTACCAGAGTTGCTCATATACCACACCATGTTACAACACAGTAGGGCGATTGCAGACAGAAACAATACTGTACTACATCCATGTTTCCTGTCGGCTCAATGTTTGAGTGGACTTTGCTGTTCCGATTCGCATGAACGGTATACGAGTGGAGCGACTGAGCGGAGCGCACACACACATAGAGCGGATCATACGCAGAGCGTCACACCACGTGAAAGTGAATCCTGAGCGCTGAACTAATTTTCGGCAGCCGAAATTTCTGTGCATCTCTAATTATTGGCAACATCAGAAATGGCTATTATATAATAGATGCTTTTTTGAACATTTTAGCAATTTTAAAATATTAAAAAATGATTTTTTACACGGCACCCCTGCTCTCGACAGACACCCCGGTTGGGAAACACTGGTCTAAACGGCTAGTCCGTATATAGAGATTTCAGCGGAATTAGGCTGGTTTAGAGTAATGTCTGCCGGACACTAATGTGTTTTTAGCAATGTTATGATCACAAAACATAGGCTTTCAACAAAATATATACTGTATATATTTTTTTTACACAAAAACTACCAATAGTCCTCACAAAACAATGGATTCCAACAGATTCAGCATAGTAACGAAAACACTGATGATGCAAGTTCTTGTGATTATAATTGCCTTGAAATGTGTTGATGAAGGTGCTTTAAAGGCAATGTAGAGATGCTTCTCCTTATTTGTCTTTATGTGTCTATTAAAGATACTAAACAAACAGAATCTTCGTAGGTTCACTAACAAACTAGTTGGTTGTTGGATGACTAGTCCACCACTCTGAGCCATATCTTAATAAGGAATGCTGTGAATGTGTTGAGTATGTTGTGCAGAGCAGTAGATGAGCCCAGTCTGTTCTCAGGGTGTTTCCTGAGGAGGGATGGGGGCCTGCTGGAATCTGTGCAGCCCATGTCTGAGCACGTTTTTGTGAGGGGAGCGTCCCTTCACCAAGGGGCTGTCAAGTAAGGTCATTTGTCTTCTAGCATTTTAGAAGAACAGGCGACCCGGATAGAAGCAGAGTGAGAGAATATTTCGGATCATACTGTCAGTTGCTGGACTCCCAGGGAAACACAAGAAAAAAAGTCTTGGCGTTTATTGTGTGTACATTGGAGGGAAAGTCTTGTGTTTAATATGGGCCGAACATGTGAACAGAATCGACCCACAAATTGATTAGTTGTCTGGGAGAAATTATTCTATCATAAAACTTTACTGGTTGGGATATTTGTCTATGTATCACTAATTAATGATTAATTAATTTTAATTAGGCCTGATCAGAACTTTTTCTAACTCACATGCACATGTATATATTGCTTTTTGCCTATATTTTTTTCAATTTCTGGGTGATCCTGCTTATCAATCAATTTCCACCTTTTGATTACAATGTGTTTCTGCAGTCAGTTTTTGTGGGATTTTAATTTCCAACCCATTTGGGTTAGTCTTATCTAAGCAGTATAGTCATTTTTAAACAAGAGTTGAATTAAATAAATCAGCCCAGCATGTTGTGTCTAACATCAAAGGGGTCATATGATGCTTTTTTAAAGATCATTATTTGGTGTAACAGAATATGTTGACATGCTTTAATGTTCAAAACAGCTGGGTCAAAACAACCCAGTGATGGGTTTTGGTCCTTTTGGCCAATTATCTAGATTGGGTTGTTTTTAACCCAGTATTTATTAGAATATACAATCACAGTTTACTAGTTTATTTAATTTCAAATGATCAGCTAATTTAAGTGATCAACTAATCTAAGCTTTGGCCACATGTTCTCTCCTGCACTAAACGTTTGTACTTGTGAGGTAAGAATGAGTTTACCGGAAGTGATATTTGTATTAGCACAGAAGGATTTTAGTTTTCTAATGGGCAGTCCAGATGTTTTTACTTGTAGAATTTCCATGGATGTTTTCATGTGAATGTATAATGCCTGGGAAAATCAAGTCAAAGATAGTAGATCCCAGCTGTAAATTATATGTTTGATGTTTATCCAAGAGGTTTCATCAGTTATCTGGTTGGTGAGGAATTCCCAACATTTAAATGTATATGCACTAAACGTTTGTACTTGTGAGGTAAGAATGAGTTTACCGGAAGTGATATTTGTATTAGCACAGAAGGATTTTAGTTTTCTAATGGGCAGTCCAGATGTTTTTACTTCCATGGATGTTTTCATGTGAATGTATAATGCCTGGGAAAATCAAGTCAAAGATAGTAGATCCCAGCTGTAAATTATATGTTTGATGTTTATCCAAGAGGTTTCATCAGTTATCTGGTTGGTGAGGAATTCCCAACATTTAAATGTATGCCCACTGTGACCTCGCAGGACCTCTAATAGTTGGTATAACACACCTGCAGATGTGAATGGAGTAAAACATTGAAGTAGCTGTTCCAGTATGATGTAGGTGTCCTCCTTCACTCTTTCCTTGCGTTGTTTGTCTCACCTTTGTTAATATTGTTACACAAGAATATAAAGCAGTTCTTTTATTTCACAAGTCAATTAATACTAATAATAATGCTAAGTCCAAACGCTTTGGCATTGACTGGATCTATTTAAAACTCTGCTACAAGAATTCCTTGATAGCACTTAAAGCGGTCATATAATGCAATTTCATATTTTCCTTTGTCTTAGGAGTGTTAAAAGCTGTTCGTGCACCCAGAAGATCTTTAATCTTTAAAGTCGCAAAGATCACAATGCCAATCACAATGCACTAGATAGCCGGCCAATCAGAGCACACTGTGCTTTTCAAAACGATCAGCTTTGTAAAAATCGACAAGTTTCAGAAAGGCGGGGCATAGTGGAGCAACACAAATGTACAGTATATGGAAAATAAAGTGTTTTTTTAACCTTAAACCGCGTAAACACATTGCATTACACCAAATATACAAAATAATGTTCTTTTTAGCAACGTCATATGACCCCTTTAATAAAAAGTCTATAAGAAGGTTACTTAAATGTTTCCATCACACAACGGAAAGTGTACACTGAAAACTTTAAGAGTTGTGAAGATGTGCATTATTTTCTTGTTGAAAGGTTTTCTTGAAACTGTTTAATTCTGCTTGTTGAAAATTCTGTCATCATTCTCACCATCATATCGATTCAAACCTCAGTTTTTTTTTTCTTTTCATAGCACAAATAAAGTAAAGAGATTTGGAATGACATGAGGATGAGTAAATGATGAAATTAAATTAAGCACATATTTAGCAGTAATCTTTATTTGTTGAAGTTATTAGTTGAAGTTCATTCCCTGTTCTCTGTAGAACATTCTCAGAGAACAGGGAATGAACTTCAACTAATAACTTCAACAAATAAAGATTACTACCTGTTAGAAGTTATTTGGCACATGCCCTGATTACACAGCAATTTGATGTTTTTTGCAAGCCAAATCAATGTTGTGATCTCTGTGAGAGAAAAAAACAGCCAGCCTTTGATTGCTTGTATTGTTATCCTTGAGTTATTTGTTGTCATAATGGAGTAAATTCAATTATGATGCCGGTGAAGATACTGAGCACTAGTACCCTACCATACTACTACATGCCTGTTTCAGTTTACTGGTAAATGCACCAAAGACACAACATAATCATCGAGTACAGTTCAGTTTCGTTCAGTTTTATTTCAATTGTTGCAATGCAGCTGCACTGAGGACATTGCCATAATGCTCTGAGTAAGCAAGTCGACTGTGGCAAGAAAAACCTCCTGAAGATTAAGCAGGATGAGGAAGAAATCTTGGGAGGAACCAGACTCAGTATGTTGGTTTATAAGCTCTATTATATCCTGAGAATAATAGCTGGGATTCCAGCAGGCCGTATAATTCCAGTATTATATTAGTTATAATTATATTAGTTACACTACTGGTGGTCAGATTTTTAAAATGTTTTTCAAAAGAGTCTCTTATGCTCACCAAGGCTGCATTTATTTTTTATTTTTTATCACTTATTATTGTATTGATTGATTGATTGGTGTCACTGGGGTACAGATGGATCTGTACTTTGAATCAGAGCTTTAAATGCAAGTAGCAGTATTGTATAAGTCAAATTATATTATTTATAATTGAACTGGCAGAAAACATTTATGTAGCAATGAAACATATTGTTTATTTCCTTTGGACATGGTACAGACTCTGCTGCATCTTGAAGTTACAAATACATAAACGTATTCATCATTACATGCCACCATGATAATATACTTGGTAGGCATATTGGAAACAGATTGTTGTCAAACACCATGTTGTGTAACTGTAAAGCATGACACTATTGAATATCTAAACACTGTATTAAAGGAGCATCTTGAAATGTTTATGTATAACTTGGAAAAATGAAATTGCATCTGGTGTGGAGGACACTTATGTTATAACAATGAAAGCTAGTGCCATTGTTCCTTGTAATAGGCTAGCACCTGAAGGAAGCATGTATAAGCAGTTCATTAAAGGACCTGAGACAGAGCCTTGTGGCACTCCTTAATTCTTAGGTCTGAAATCTCCTCCTTCATACTTACAAATATAGCAGATTTGACATAAATCAGGTTAGAATGGCAAAGTGATTCTCCAGTTTGTTTGAAAGAATGTTATAATGTATAATGTCATAGGTAATACTAAAATTTGAATTTGTGTTCAGACCCACAATGGCTGATAACTATTGACAGAATTGTTTTAAAATAATACCTGTTATTGATTGTCACTAAAGTTATGTTATATTTAAAAAAGTCATATTTACTCAGTACATGACAAAGACCACAGCAATAACACATGCTTTGTTTGATCCAAGTGTTTATTTATTTATTTTTTTGTTTCCAGAGATCTAAGATTCAACAAAATCAAGGATTTACAGCCAGCCTCCTTCAGACGACTAAAAAACCTCAATACACTGTAAGTGTCAATGTTTTCTAAACTGGTTTCATGAAACACACACCTCATAAAACTAAACATTTTGGGGCATGTACGGTAGTTTGAAAAAATATATTTTTTGATGTTTAATACATTTCTTTCCTCTTTCTTTAAGCCTTTTAAATAACAACCATATTAGAAGAATCCCAAGAGGAGCCTTTGAAGATTTGGAAAACTTAAAATATCTGTGAGCTTTTCTTTACCTCATTTGATTGCTTCTAAAAATATAGAAAGTGTATAAAAATACAGAAAGGGTGATGCTTTATGGACAATAGTTTCCCAGCTTAAGTTCTGAGTTAGAGAAGTCAAGTAATATTAATTTGAAACCACTGACTCAAAGCCTTTCACTTGATTTCAGAACCATGATCCAACATGTTGCACCATGCTCACCACTTGTATGAATGATTCAGTCATTACTACTGCCATTGTTTGACACATGAAAAGAGACTCTCACAGATATGGGGAACTTAATTGTCTGCTCTGTAAAATTATCTGTCTGACGGCCCTGACCCAAAAGTGCGGAGATCAGAGTCAGGCGGATCTGGAATAATTGCTTTCTGGGCAGACGTTGCACAGTTCCTGTCTTTGTTCGTCACAGGGCAATTTGAGAATCTGTAACTTTAGTTGTGGTGAGAGCAACCTGTGTTTATATTTAAATAGAGTCAGTTGTTTGAAATGTTTCACACCTGGTTTTGCCTAGATAACATTTAAACTCAGCTGCTAACAGAATACAGAAAGAGGTGAATCTCACCAATATTTTCAAAGACATGTCTGGTCATATTTCACCACCAAATCAAATTGATCAATTATATTTTGCTTCAAGAAAGTGAAGATAAATCAATTTTGCATTGTGAAATTAATCATTTTTATTACTTTACACATTATTATTGGGACATCCATCCCCATCCCTAAATATCATTGCTGCTATGTGAATATATTATTTAATTTACATTTTTATTTTATTTATTTATTAAATAAATTGTAAGGTTACAATGGGGGGGAAAAAATATAAAAAGTCTTAATAGACCTAAAATTGGCTTTATATGGGTGAAATATGACCTGGACATGTTGTGAGGTTCCTCATGTACATATGTGGAATTGTTATTTATTTATTTATTGCTTGCTTGATTGCTATACTGCCAAAAAAAAAAAAAGTAGCCAGCTCTCAGTGTATATCCATCACTAAAATCCCGTTTTAAGAATTATATTATAAAAAAATGTGTATAACCACTGGTGATTGGCCACTGGACTGTGTGAGGTCTAAATAATCTCTACATGAGGCCGAACAATTAGAGCCCACTGTTATTCTAGTGCTGGTGGTCCAGAAGTCAAACGCTGACTTCACAGTCTACAAGTCGTGTGTCACTCCTGATAAACATACTGAGTATTATAAGTCTCAGGCTGAGTATTAATCCATTCATTAACTGCTCTTGGGCGGTACAGTCATCAGACACATGTGATAGTTCACACAGTCATGATGTCCAGCTGGCTAGTCCTCTAGACAAAGTGAATATAACTTGCTCTGAGTGGCTGGTAAATCTAAACTAGATTATATACAGTAGATAAAAAACACACAACTAAAACTTTAAAAAGAAAATATAAATTAAAAACTGAAAATATACAAATTAAAAACTAATTCAAAATATGAATAAAAACTATAATATTATCTTAGAATAACTAAAATAACAATGATTGAATTAGTCACCATCTGGATTTTTTGATATGCTGCAAATCAAGCCGAACTGCCTTTTTTCCCCTCGTCTTCTTCTTAATTACAAATACAGTGGAGTCCAAAATTCTGAGATTTTTTTTTTTTTTTTGGCATTGAAGCCTGGACATAAACAGAAAGTATTAGGAATTCAAAACATTTAAGGACATTTTATGGACCAGTTTTCACGTACCTCTTCATTTACAATTTTCAGTATACTTTTTACTCAGATTGTTACTGATGATATAATTTGTAATGGAGAAATTCAGAAAAACTGCATCATGGTCTGAGCGATATTCTATTCTTTGCAGATTCTTAACCAACATAACTTATGTTTAGTACTAAAAAAGTGTATTGCTTTAGCAGTGCTTATAAATGCAAATATAAATATTGAATACTTGTATGGGAAGACACAACGCATATCTGCAGCATATACTTCCTGTGGGATGGTGTCATAGTCCTCAAGGACACCGAATCATGTGGTTTATGTGACTGAGCGCTGGTTCTCAACAGCACACTGTCCCTAGACAGAAAAACAACAAACTTGAATTCCTGTTTCCCACAGGCCACCCCTTCTGTGTTTTCAATATACAGTCAATATGCAACTTTTTTTTTCTATTATTCCTGCAATATCTGATGTAAAGTTAATTTTGACCTTTCTTTATTTCTGTGTGTACATGTGTGCATGTATTCTTGTAACTGTTAAAAATAGGAGATCCCTCAATGTTTGACTCTCGCTATGTACTAATATCCTTGAATATTTCTTTAAGCTATTTGTACAAGAATGAAATCCAGGCGATAGACAGAGAAGCTTTTAAGGGGCTCGTCTCTCTAGAACAACTGTAAGTAACCTTTTGCCCTGTCACTAGTTTTTAATATTTATCAAAGTTAAAGGAATAGTTCACCCAATTTCTGTTCATGACACAAAGCTATTGTACAGCTTTCAGAAGACACAGAATATAGTGCATAAGTCAATATAATGATATTTGTATGGTGTTAAAAATATCTCCACTCCCCATTTATTATGGGGATTGCATTTTTGTGTTTTGTGTCTCACTAAGAAAGTTATGTGGGAGCAATGTGACTGCGAGTAAATTATTGCAGTTATATAGTTATATATAGTTATATATATATGGGTGAACTATCCCTTTAAGTGTATGATGCAGTTTGATCCATGTTTTTACAAATTAAAGATTTTTTATCAAGTTCATTGCCAAACTGGGGAGGGTGAAACCTACAAACCTACAAATTGCTCTTCCGTTTAGATTTTACAGAGAACCAATTGGGATCAATAGCTCACATTTAAATGTTCCACTTTTCATGTCGTTAAAGGCACAATATGTAAGATTTTTGTATTAAAATATCCAAAAACCACTAGAACAGTGTTATATATTTGGCTGACTTGTGTACTTACATTATCCCAAATGTTTCAAAGAATGTTTAAATCCAGAGAAATAAGCAATTTTAACTAGTGACACGGCCCGTGTCCATAGTGTCATTGTGTCGCCTGCCAATGACGTCATAACCCCTCGATTTCCAGTATCTAGTATGATAAAACAGCGCTGCTTTACCCCACATACGCACGACCGGAAGCAGCGGAAGCGCTCGACTGTGGCATAATAAAAGCTCCGCTGCTTTACCCCACATACGCATGACCGGAAGCAGCGGAAGCGCTCAACTGTGGCATAATAAAAGCTCCGCTGCTTTCGAGCCGTGTGTCGCGCTCGTTCAGCGGCCTCGTTTCGTTTTGATGGCTTTCAGCCTCACCCTGCTTCATAATATGACGTTAATAAATCTTTAATACATTAGCTCATTCATGAACATGACTTCTGCCCGAGTCCCGTCGGATTGCATCTGCTGTGGGGATGAAGACCACAACTCCCATGATTCCACACTCAGTCACGGAGTCATCAAACTATGCCTTTGTCTCTTTGTTTGTTTTGAATACGCGCCCTCCAGTGGCGAAAACTTACATACTGTGCCTTTAACATGGTTATTTAGTGATATCTGCCATGATGTCATAAACATCTCGCTTGCAGCTGGCTAGAGTTCAGATAATATTAACACATTTTACAGTCACCTCAATTATTTCTTATTACTCTCCATAATCCTTTGAAACTGTAATTGTTGACCTTATTTAAAACCCACAGTATTTTTGCCTTGTAGCGAGAGTTTTTTTGGGGGGTTTTTGTCACCGAGTTAGAAATCTGTTTAATGTTTGAAAGTCAACATGAAATGAAACTAGAGCGTATTTGCTTTCCTAAAACACGTCCCTCATCTTACATGATTAACTGGTGCACATTGTTTAAAAAAAATATTAATAATGGTCTCTATCCAATAAGTTATCAATAATTAAAACAGAGTCATGCTCTTTGTTTTATTGTTGAAAATGCATACGATTATGGAAGTAAAACAGGTACTGGACAATGTTTTGTGTTGACATAAATCTATGGGAAAGCTCTAGATACTATGTTTATGGCAAGTAAAACACTGTGCATATGACTCTCTCTCTCACACAGATACCTGCACTTCAACAACATTGAGTCTTTGGAGCCGGAGTCTTTCTCTCATCTGCCCAAGCTTGAGCGGTTGTGAGTTACACATGCATCTCAAACCTCAAATCATCACTCAGATCCCTACAGGGTTGCATGTTTAGTCATGATAACACGTCCCTTTTAAAATGAGATCAAAAATGAGATGAGCGTGTAGGCAAATGTGTGCATGAGCTGACACTGTGCACTAGTGTGTAGCCTATATTCTGGTTTGTTTTGAGAGAGGAATTGTCTTCAGAAGGGATGCTTTAACCTTGTAAAGCCTGACATTTGAAAAAAAAATATCATATGTGTTTTTGTTGGTATCATATTTGATACCTAAGGATTTTTTTTGGCTCATATAGTATGATGAAGTGAGAATATGAAGCTCAAACTCGAGGAGGAAAAACAGCTCAGTTCTATCCAGAGGCCCAGACTGGGTAAAAATATGCAATTTGGTGCAGATGCTGATATTTATATGGGCAAAAAGTAAGACAAAATTCTGATATAGTATAGATGATAGTGTTTTAGTGTTGAAACTATTCCAAAAAATGAAGGGTGCATTTTGCACTCAGTTTGTTTGGGTAGATTTCATCCCATTTGTTGAGTAAAGACTCCCTAAATGTAATCGCTATGATGCATAAAAAAAATTAGGTAAAGCCTGCTCAACATTTGTCAATACATTACAAAACAAAGTATTTACAAAAAGTAAGTAATATGAACTCTTGATTATTATCCACTTGATGTTTTTGCACATGCTTGCCATGAACAAGTAAGAAGTTACATGCCACTGCATTACTTAGTAACAGCTATTTCTCATTCAGTATGAGGTATAGACTTCGTTCAGGTCTTTCTCTTTACTCAAAAACACATAAAATAGCACTTAATGTCACCATTTACTCTCATGATCCAGCCCTGTGCAAAGCATGTTGGGCAGGTTTCAGTTAATGCAACAAAGTGATTCAGATAATCCCAACACAAATGGATTAAGTAAACTTCAATTTTGCATTTTTAAGTGGATTGTGTTGTTCAAGCAGCTTAAATCATTTTTATTACAGTCTTCTCTGTCTCGTTCCTTTCTGTTGACCCGAATTCTAAATGTTTGGAGATTGTTGCGCTGAATTCACCCACACACATTCTGATGTCTTTCAAAGACGGGAAAGTCACTCGCACATAAACAGGGACTAACACGTGAGTTAGGGACCATTTCAAAGCTGGTGAAGAAGTGAAAATGTAAAAATGTTGGATTCATGGAACTCACCTTCCTGTTGTTTATGTGACTAGTTGTGATCAGTAATGTCATCCCTGGGAAAGTGACCCCGTCTGACCTGGTAGAAAATAAGAACATCCCTGTGGACGTTCATCTTTTCATCTCTATTCCACAGAGCATGTAATCTACCGGTCAAAGTTTTGGATAATTACAGTTCTGTCATGACAAATCTTGGAGGGATTGGCATGGTAATTTACATGACGATGTTAATGTATTTGGTCTTGGCGGAATAGATCTGCTACGCTGCTGCGGCAGAGAAAGTACCGAGACTTGCTACTGTCAATACATCCACAACATGCTGCTGTGAGCACGTAAGAAATATTGCTGCTGCAAATATAACATTAATGAAATAACCCAATATAGCGTACATTAATCGCCTCGTAGCAGATCTATACAGGTGGAGCTGGGGAAGGTGAAGGATTTCTGAAGCAAGCCGCAACTGCTACGGCAAAGCACTAGTCATATATTTGAATGTTGAGCGAGCATGTAAGAAATATTGCTGCTGCAAATATAACATTAATGAAATAACCCAATATAGCGTACATTAATCGCCTCGTAGCAGATCTATACAGGTGGAGCTGGGGAAGGTGAAGGATTTCTGAAGCAAGCCGCAACTGCTACGGCAAAGCACTAGTCATATATTTGAATGTTGAGCAGCGAGCTCATTGGCTACCGATACAGGAGAGAACCAATCAGCTGTGCCATGTGAAATGATGTCATTTAGTTCAGATTGAGTTAGACCAAAGGTGAATTTTCAGCAGTCATTCAACCATCTTAGCTACAAAATTATCAAGGATTTGATCAGAAAGCATTGTTTTCCAATCTGCCACAAGTGTCACACACAAATGTGAACTGATGCTTTGCAAAAATGTGAACAATGTTATTTTAACCAAAGAATTGCCACACGGTTTTGTTTTGTTTTCTCTATCATGATCCAAAAAAGCTAAGTCACCTTCTAAACAAATAGCACATCTTTCCTCAACAAAACACAATTTGACTACATACCACTCACAGATTAAACAAATCACTGATCCTAAATATGAGCACTAGAGCACTAGTGCTTTTATGGCATGTGTTGTGTTTTTTTCTGACCTGGTCACAGATTTTAAATGCTTGATTTGTAAATACATAAATACACAACAGTGCACTTCTCATTGCTTATCTATTGCAGGTTTCTGCACAACAACAGAATTACTCATCTTGCATTAGGAACCTTCTCCCACCTGCAGTCTATGAAGAGACTGTGAGTATTACTCAAGATTATTAACGGTTGGGATTATTAACTTTTGAATAGTTGGTTGTGGTTCACTTTAGCTACCAAAACTTTATAAACTATTTAGTGCAGTGTTGTTTTAATATCACAGAGATCCTATTGTATTTTTTTATTAGCATTTTGAATTGCTTTTCATTTTAAATTTTATGTTGTTGTAATTTTGTTGTGTTTTTGTCTCTCTTTTTTTTTTTTTGAATGTTTAAATTTTTTTACGTTTTATTATTTTATTTTATAAAAATTTTTTCCAGTGTTTGTTGTAGCTTTTTCAATCAAGTTTAAATAAAAATTAGAATGTTGCCTACTTTACCAAAATCTAAAAATATATATATATTTTTTTATGGTTTTATTTTCAGTTAATTATAATAACCCTGATTTAGTACCATACCTTTAGATGAGGATGCTAAAAAAGTCATTTTTAAAATATTTATTAACAAGCAGTTAATTTCTGTTTAGATGTACTAAATAACTTGAAATCTATTAAAAACCAAAGAAAATATGTAATAAGTTGAAAAAAATAAGTTTTTGGGTTGATATTCTGAACCTCCTCCTACCAGCCATTCGAGATTAGATAAAACTTGTTTGGCAAGGGTTAGGATTAGAGGTACTCAAAGCTGTATGAGTGCTGCATGTGAGTTTTGCAAGACTTTTCACAGAATTTTGAGTCAACTACACCAACGCTGCTACAAATTTATCAGTGATTTGATCAGAAAGAAATGTTTTCCGATCAACTACAAATTTGAATTGCTGCAGCAATGTCATTTTAACCAAAGGTCTGCAACCAAATTTTATTTTCATTTTGAGTTTGTGTGTGTTTATAGGCGCCTCGACTCAAACTCACTGCACTGTGACTGTGAACTGCTGTGGTTGGCCGATCTGTTGAAGCAGTACGCAGAGTCCGTACCGAGACTTGCTACTGTCAATACATCCACAACATGCTGCTGTGAGCACGTAAGAAATATTGCTGCTGCAAATATAACATTAATGAAATAACCCAATATAGCGTACATTAATCGCCTCGTAGCAGATCTATACAGGTGGAGCTGGGGAAGGTGAAGGATTTCTGAAGCAAGCCGCAACTGCTACGGCAAAGCACTAGTCATATATTTGAATGTTGAGCAGCGAGCTCATTGGCTACCGATACAGGAGAGAACCAATCAGCTGTGCCATGTGATAATGATGTCATTAGTTCAGATTGAGTTAGACCTATCGGACTGCGCCATCTAGAGTTTCATGCCAGAACTCTATTTGTTTTTTTTGTTTTTTTCCAAAAAGCTTCACTTACTTGATCAAAAATACAGTAAACATAGTAATATTGTGAAATTATTACAATTTAATCGGTTTTCTATAGTATATATATATTTTAAAGTGTAATTTATTCCTGTGATGCAAAGGTGAATTTTCAGCAGTCATTCAACCATCTTAGCTACAAAATTATCAAGGATTTGATCAGAAAGCATTGTTTTCCAATCTGCCACAAGTGTCACACACAAATGTGAACTGATGCTTTGCAAAAATGTGAACAATGTTATTTTAACCAAAGAATTGCCACACGGTTTTGTTTTGTTTTCTCTATCATGATCCAAAAAAGCTAAGTCACCTTCTAAACAAATAGCACATCTTTCCTCAACAAAACACAATTTGACTACATACCACTCACAGATTAAACAAATCACTGATCCTAAATATGAGCACTAGTATAGTGATGCTTTTATGGCATGTGTTGTGTTTTTTTCTGACCTGGTCACAGATTTTAAATGCTTGATTTGTAAATACACACTTTTAAAACAGTGCACTTCTCATTGCTTATCTATTGCAGGTTTCTGCACAACAACAGAATTACTCATCTTGCATTAGGAACCTTCTCCCACCTGCAGTCTATGAAGAGACTGTGAGTATTACTCAAGATTATTAACGGTTGGGATTATTAACTTTTGAATAGTTGGTTGTGGTTCACTTTAGCTACCAAAACTTTATAAACTATTTAGTGCAGTGTTGTTTTAATATCACAGAGATCCTATTGTATTTTTTTATTAGCATTTTGAATTGCTTTTCATTTTAAATTTTATGTTGTTGTAATTTTGTTGTGTTTTTGTCTCTCTTTTTTTTTTTTTGAATGTTTAAATTTTTTTACGTTTTATTATTTTATTTTATAAAAATTTTTTCCAGTGTTTGTTGTAGCTTTTTCAATCAAGTTTAAATAAAAATTAGAATGTTGCCTACTTTACCAAAATCTAAAAATATATATATATTTTTTTATGGTTTTATTTTCAGTTAATTATAATAACCCTGATTTAGTACCATACCTTTAGATGAGGATGCTAAAAAAGTCATTTTTAAAATATTTATTAACAAGCAGTTAATTTCTGTTTAGATGTACTAAATAACTTGAAATCTATTAAAAACCAAAGAAAATATGTAATAAGTTGAAAAAAATAAGTTTTTGGGTTGATATTCTGAACCTCCTCCTACCAGCCATTCGAGATTAGATAAAACTTGTTTGGCAAGGGTTAGGATTAGAGGTACTCAAAGCTGTATGAGTGCTGCATGTGAGTTTTGCAAGACTTTTCACAGAATTTTGAGTCAACTACACCAACGCTGCTACAAATTTATCAGTGATTTGATCAGAAAGAAATGTTTTCCGATCAACTACAAATTTGAATTGCTGCAGCAATGTCATTTTAACCAAAGGTCTGCAACCAAATTTTATTTTCATTTTGAGTTTGTGTGTGTTTATAGGCGCCTCGACTCAAACTCACTGCACTGTGACTGTGAACTGCTGTGGTTGGCCGATCTGTTGAAGCAGTACGCAGAGTCCGGCAACGCTCAAGCCGCAGCTACATGCGACTATCCCAGCCGCTTGCAGGGACGCTCGGTCGCAACTCTCACTGCAGAGGAGCTCAACTGTGGTGAGGCCATTCACACACATAAACACACTCCAATATACACTATTCTTTTCAAATCAAAAACAAAATGATGGACCGGCACTAAATTATTGAAATATTTACAGCATCTGCCCCCATACACCACATCCACATGATTCTGCTCGATGGGACCACTCAATGTCTTTGAACATGTTAGTCATCTTAATAAATAACAGATGCTGATCTAGTTTTGTGAGCTGGATTATGGAGAGTTTTCCCAGATGTGTCATTGCTCGCATGCTACTCCACCTCCTCGTCAAACACTGGAGGGAGTGAAGGGTCAAACGTGACTCTTTTCGTTTCAACCATCTGTGAAACACATACGGGTCAACTCTACTGGGCTTTCTGACGTCAGAAATGTCGGCTGGGGAAAAAGCAGCTCAGATCCAGCTTCAAATATTGGGCTAATTACCAGTCCAGTGTTCACTGAACAACAAAATATCCTGTTAAATTTATGACAAAAAGGACATGACTTATTGGTCTATTTTATAACTTACAACCATATATCTCATTAAATGATATAATGTTAATATTGTAGCGAATTTAGCTCACACAGGAAATATGAATAATTAACCATAACTAGTTATAATTAACTATTCATATTTTAGATCCGCTGTAGATATTTAGCTGACCACTCAGGGTCAACTGTCTTGTCAATTCTAAGAACGTTAATTTCCTGGTTAAGGGAAATAACTTTCTTACTGTACAATTCTACCAAGCTTGTAACGTAAATCTGCATGATTAGTGACTCCGGTTATGAGCAAACAATGAACACGTCAAGCGTGATACAAGTAAAGTTTTATTAACTACATAAACACTTAAACTAGTCAAACATACTACATAAACACATTAAGCTGGTCTAACATACACATACACACACACACACACATACAGTTGGTATAGGAAAGGGTTAAAGTTTAACTCAGCATATACAAATCTATTTGAACTACTAAGGTTTTTGTACCCTAAATGTACTAACTGCCACAATAGAAAGCCTTTCAATGAATGTTCATTGTACGTGACCTGTCCATAAAACATGGCCAAGACATTGCAACGGGTCATAAACACAAAACATACATTTTATCTTACAGTTAAATGACCTGATCTGATGTTAAACCATTTGTTGTTAGTTTTTCATTGTATATGTTAGGTGACTTACAGTCAACCAAATAACAGATATTTAGCTGTGGCATTTTGTCCGTTTTTTTTTTTTTCCTGTGAAAATTTCACTTTTGTTTTTCTTTCCGTGCTTAGAAACTGACGTCTTTTATCATTTCAACTGTCATGGTCAGTGAAATAGAAATGAAACGAGTAATTAATATAATAATTGTTCAAGTCTATATCTTTTACTCTGAAATGTGGTCCTTTGTGTGACCTCTGAGCAGCAGTAGAGGTTTCACCACAGTAGCCACAGGCCATAGCAGCAGTTGTGCTCGATAGACTTGCTCAGGCTTGTTACAGTAATCAGCCCCCCACAAACACCCCTATTGGCTCTGTAGAAGAATGGGTTTATCACCGTATGGCTTTTCCACCCCCTCTATACATAAAACACAGCACATAGACGCCTGAGGCACCTGTCAGAACACATCACCAGCCCGCCAGACAGCTGCAGTTTCTCTGGGACTGGTACCCGTCGCATGACTGCCACACTGTGCAATGCAAAACAAAAGTCAGCTGTCAGCATGAAGATTGAAGGTCACCCAAAAAATAAAGATTGTCATCATTTGCCTATCCCCTTGCCGTTGCAAAACTGCATGAAAGCAGATGTTTTGCAGAGTGTCCAGGCTGCTATTTGACAAAAGTTAGCAAATGGGAATAAGTGTAAACTGCCTTTAATTTGATGGTTAATGATAGATTTCCTTCCATGGAACCGATAATTTAACTTAAGAAGACTTGGAAGAAAGGCGTATGGACTACTTTATAGTACTTTTACGGAGCTCAACAGCCTTGCTTTCATTGTTTGGAAAAGTTCAGCTTGGGCATTCAGCAAAACATCTCCTTTTGGGTTCCACCATAAAAAGAAAAGCATATGGGTTTGGAACAACATGATGGTAAGCAAGCTTGTTTAAACGATTCTTATATAGAGAGTGCTGCAGTGATTATGTATTTTTGTAGGCCAATCTGAAACCATAGGTTTGCATCACCCTGGTTCCCTTGACAAAATCCCAATATGATTTTTTTTTTCTTTTGGATTATTGTAGAAAATAAGCTCTGTGACCAACAGAAGTTTATGATTCTTACATTCTTACAGCTTATGTATTTTGAAGCCTAAAAAGCTAAACGTAGACTATAAATGAACTAAACCATAGTCACATGACTTCAACATTACCACCATTAAGCTTCTGACAACTCTTTCAGTCTTTATTTAAAGAAAAAATAAAACAAAACATTTTCCCTGGCGGTTAGTTAGAATAGTTTATAGCGCACTTATAAACAGTGTTGGGGGTAACGCATTACAAGTAACGCGAGTTACGTAATCTGATTACTTTTTTCAAGTAACTAGTAAAGTAACGCATTACTTTTTAATTTACAAGAAAATATCTGAGTTACGTTTTCAAATAAGTAACGCCAGTTACTTTTTTTTGCCATTTATTGATTGAAAGCTCTCCTGTCCCCTTGTTGAGAGAAATCGGGAGTAAATGTTACTTTATTTCTAGAATAAATGTGAACATGCATTAATTCATCTCACTCACAAAAAAAAATCTGATTTAGTTTTCCTCAATTAATAAAAACAGTTAAACGCAACTCAGAATATGACAATAATTAAATATGTTAAATAATACAAATATCCTTTATGTATTTAATCCCATTTTATTAACCAATTTGCTGCTGACCTTAAGTGATCCAATTCAACCATACTAATAAGCAAAAATGACACAAGATAAACTAACATTTTTTTATTGCTGAAGAGTGTTGAACTTTCTTCTTCTGTGTTCAGACGTCAATGTACATTTCCTTCAGCCTGAGGTTTTTGGTGTGAAAGGGCTTTTACATTAGCCAAAAATAGAACTTTTTATATTAAAAGCAAACAAGCAAGCCCAGCCCAGATTTAAAAAAGTAACGTAACGCATTACTTTCAATAAAAAGTAACTAAGTAACGTAATTACTTTTTTAGGAAGTAACGTGATATTGTAATGCATTACTTTTAAAAGTAACTTTCCCCAACACTGATTATAAATGCAACAAGGCTGTGAAAGTGACTAGTGAGTAGATGAGTTTGTCTGTTTGTTATGATGACGACGTCTTTGACAGCCTCTGAAGTCCTATATAGACACTTGTGAGCAACCACCTTTTCCAAGACTTATTTCAGACATTTAAACAAAACCCATTGAGCACCTAAGTGCTACAATGCTCACTCATTTCCGGGTTTTGGCCTACAAAAATGCATCATCCCTGCAGCACTCCATAGTACTTTCTGTAATTTTTGTCCCTCTTCTGCCTGTTATATGCAAGTACTTTGACACAGTATGCAACCAGACATTTGGTTTTGCCAGTAGAAACAGTTGAACAGTTCTGACAGATGGTTTGGGAATACATCTCACCATGTGCACATTGGTGTTGGGTAATGTTTGGGGGTTTGGCACGTGGTTGTTGTGACCATAGACACAATCACCTCGTGCCTGGCCATCAACCAACACGGGCAGCCAAACCAGTTCAGAGGAAGTGAGGCAAGAGGGAAATGTTGAATGTTATTTCCAGCAGTCACACAGTGCCACTACAAATAAACCTTCAGTGCTGTAATTCCAACACCTTTTACAGACCAAATTAAACTTGTTTTACTTCTCCTCACACCTCGTCTTTTGCGGCACACCTATATTTAGTTTCATCTGAATGTGTCTCTCTTGTGGAGTAGAAGTTCCCCGGATCACATCTGAGCCGCAGGATGTTGATGTAACCTCTGGGAACACTGTGTACTTCACATGCAGGGCAGAGGGCAACCCCAAACCTCAGATCATCAATGTCTTTGACAGCCTCTGAAGTCCTATATAGACACTTGTGAGCAACCACCTTTTCCAAGACTTATTTCAGACATTTAAACAAAACCCATTGAGCAACTAAGTGCTAAAATGCTCACTCATTTCCGGGTTTTGGCCTACAAAAATGCATTATCCCTGCAGCACTCCATAGTACTTTCTGTAATTTGTGTCCCTCTTCTGCCTGTTATATGCAAGTACTTTGACACAGTATGCAACCAGACATTTGGTTTTGCCAGTAGAAACAGTTTAACAGTTCTGACAGATGGTTTGGGAATACATCTCACCATGTTCACATTGGTGTTGGGTAATGTTTGGGGGTTTGGCACGTGGTTGTTGTGACCATAGACACAATCACCTCGTGCCTGGCCGTCAACCAACACGGGCAGCCAAACCAGTTCAGAGGAAGTGAGGCAAGAGGGAAATGTTGAATGTTATTTCCAGCAGTCACACAGTGCCACTACAAATAAACCTTCAGTGCTGTAATTCCAACACCTTTTACAGACCAAATTAAACTTGTTTTACTTCTCCTCACACCTCGTCTTTTGCGGCACACTTATATTTAGTTTCATCTGAATGTGTCTCTCTTGTGGAGTAGAAGTTCCCCGGATCACATCTGAGCCGCAGGATGTTGACGTAACCTCTGGGAACACTGTGTACTTCACATGCAGGGCAGAGGGCAACCCCAAACCTCAGATCATCTGGCTCAGAAACAAGTAAGCTCCCTCCCTCAATGTACATGTTTAAAGGAATAGTTTCAGCAAGAAATAAAATTATGTTTTCATTTATTCCCCTTCATGTTACTCAAAGCAGATATGACCTGTTTTTCATAGAACACAAAAGAAGAAATATTACAGTATGCCTAGAGTGCCCTTTCCGTAATGAGGAAAAACACCATGAAAGTACTGCTTAAAGCTTGTGTAGTATTTCAATCGTGAAATCGGTGGGAATAGTTTTAGCATGTTAATTGATATGATGTTAATGTGTTTGGTCTTGGCAGATTAGATCTGCTATGCTGATTCAAGATACACAGACGTGCTGTTGTGAGCATGTAAGATATGCTGCTGCTGCATGAATAGGCAGATATCTAGTTAAGTCTTGAAACTTTAGATGGCGCATACTGATAGGTCTTTTACATGCAATCTGCTAGCAATCACATAATTTACTACATGGAACAATCTGATTGGCCTCTGCTGATTCTGCAGCCAATGAGCTTGCAATTCCTCTGAAACCCTCCACCTCTCCCAGCACCACCTGTCTAGATTCGCTACAGGATTTATGTATTTCAGATATTATAAATCCATCTAATGTGTTTTTTTTTTTTTACAGATAATCTTCACTCTCACTAGCTATGTTTCCATCACCATCCATTCATTTTATGCACATTTTGAAGTATTACATTAGAAACAAGTGATAGAAATGCCAAATTTTGAAGAAAAAAAAAAAAGTCCCTTAATTCGCAAAAACGTTTCTACGCTCAGGTGACGTTTTTTGACTTGTGCGAAAAGGTTAATGCGAATAATGGGAGATGTAAACACATTTTACAGAATAAAATCATCCATGCGCATCTAAAAAGTCATGTGACCTTCCGCGATGAGATGGCATAACTTGACTAACTAGCGGACCGATCTTAGTCCGATCTGAAATGCCTGAGCCAAAGTCTGTAGTCAAAGTATTTTTGTATAATTGGCTCCCAGAACTGTCTTATATGACTGCGTTCCCAAACATCAGGCATCCACCTCCGAAAGCAATGACAAGTCATTTATTGTGTTTCGTCTGCTCGCTCTAAGGTGCAAGTAATTTATTATGTGTGAAAATAATTATATTCAATGGCTTCTCCTACTTTTCTTATTTATATTTAGTGGCAGTTTATCAGGAAGTGACCATTTTGTTCTCTTTGACTCGTTGAATGGCAACGGTGCTTTTTGTGCATAAGTTAAATTCTCAACTTTGGATGTAAACATAGATACTGTAGCATAGCTCTGAAATCTGATTCCATTTGTGTTGAAATCAAATATCAAATATGACACGTCAAGACAAGTCATGGTTAATTGCAATCCAACATCTTTGGTTCTCACATCTACGTGGTCAAAAGCGGGCAGGCTCAAAATGTTTAGACCCCATTTAAACCTGTATTTAATGTAGTCTACGTGTGATCAGATTGACAAAAATGCATCCTAATGCCAAGTGTAAACGGGACCAATCAGACAACTTCAGAAGACTTTAAATATGGCGCACGAGCCGCTTTAACTATTTTGTGTGTGTGTGTGTGTGTGTGTTTTGTTATTTTGGAGCTTGATAGTCTGGGAATTCTAAGAAATGTATCTGCATTTGTGTTCCATGTAAAGCAGAAAGTGATTCAGGTTTGGACTGACAAGAATATGAGTAAATCGTGGCAGAAATAAAATATTTTCTTTTATCCTCCATATGTGAAGGGTATGTGCATAAATGGGAAAATCTTTTTTCAGCAATGCTCTGAACATGAGGGACGACACACGTCTCAATCTTTTGGAAGATGGGACCCTGATGATCCAGGACACACGAGAAACAGACCAGGGAGTTTATCAGTGCATGGCCAAAAACGTGGCTGGAGAGGTGAAGACCTCAGAGGTCACCTTGCGATACTTCAGATCACCATGTGAGTGTGATAGGGTCCTGTAGGCTGTGACTACTAGAACTTCCCAAACTAGCTCAACCCTACTTAGTTTAGCAATCTACAAACATTTCATATATGCTGGAAAAAAATGATTACAAAGAAACAAAAAGTAACACACTGAATAACATTTTTTTTTTTACAATTTGAGCAATTTCTGAGTAAGAAATGTTTCAGTAAATTTCACAAATAATTACAAAGAATTAAGTAACACTTTGAATTTAAAAAAATGTGGATTTACTTTTCTCACTTTTTTCACAACAGTTTTCACTCAGAAATTGCTAGTAAATTTCACAAAGAAATGACAAGTATCAATGAATAATAACAAAAAAATGGTGAAAATCACTCAGAAAATGCTTGTAAATTTCACAAATGATTGCAAAGGAATAATTACGAATAAATTTAAAAGTAACAATTTGAATTAAATGTGAAATTCAAGAGTAGAAAAAAAAGTATTTTCTTTTAAAACACACTCCAAAAAACTTTATGTACAGTTTTACAGTATAATATTTAGTTTGACCTCATGAGATAGACAACATTAAACACTTTCTTTCTATGACTGTTTGATTTAGATTTTATTTTTTCCCCCCAAACCCAGTTTTTTACCTTTTCATGTATAATTCTAGGTAGCATGCCAGTCTGGTAAAGACTGTTTTGAGGCAGCTAACTAGAGGTCTTTCTCTCTCCAGCTCGACCTAGTTTCGTGATCCAGCCGCAGAATACAGAGGTTCTGGTCGGGGAGAGCGTGACCCTGGAGTGCAGTGCGACGGGCCAGCCGCAGCCCCGCGTGACCTGGACCAAAGGAGACCACACAGCCCTCCCAGTGGACCCCCGCATCAACATCACTCCTTCAGGAGGTCTCTACATCCAGAACGTCAATCAGGCCGATGGGGGACAGTACACCTGCTTCGCAAGCAACAACGTGGACACCATCCACGCCACTGCGTATATTATAGTACAGGGTAAGTAAAGCAGAAATGTGTTACATCAGTTCATAATCATGATTCTATTTCTGATCATTTAGTTTATTGTATTGATATTTCATTTATTTTATGTGTATTCATAATCTTTTCAATTAATGGATGTCCAAAAATGTCATTCACTGCGAAGTTAAGGTGGCAGTTGTGAAGTTAATGAAAAAACACTGACCTGAGATATACAGTGTGAGACGTGGAAGAAAAATAAAACAGGAATCAGTTAACCCAAGTCAAGTCAAAACAGATGTACATCAAGTGGAAAATACATGTATTTTTATACTGTCCAATGTACACATCCAGTCCTTCAAAATAAAAGGGATAAATAGTGTTTAAAAAAAAAAAGATTTGAAAATCATGGTTTCCTAAAGTTTGACTAAAAGTGAATAAGACTCCTCATACAAAAAATAAAATAAATAAATAATAATTATAAATAAAAGAAACAATTTTGTTTTGGCTTGAGACCAAAGTGTTGATGTCCAGAACACATACTGACTAGATAGAATGCATTTCAAAGGGTTTGATTAATTCTTCTTGTGTTTTTTTTTTTTTGTACATAATTGAAAATATGATGCATAAAAATACATCAAAATAAATATGAAGGTCCTTTGAAGTTGTCTTTAGTTACAGTAAGTAAACTAAATTAAACCCTACGTTTATTGGTTTAACCCTAAGTGAAAATTCTACTTTTATATTAAAACTAATTTAGCTTTAAAGGTGAAATTAAGTTGTAAAAAAAAAAATATATATATATATATATATATATATATATAT